GCAAGAGTACACACATCCTTTACTCAAGTAGAAGTACAGAGACTCGTGTTTAAAAATACTCTGGTGAAAGTAGAAGTACTGACTAAACTTCTTTACTCAAGTCAAAGTAAAGAGGCTTTGAAATGTACTTCAGTAAAAAGTACCCATAACTAGCAGCTGTTTTAAAGAGTACCTGACCTCCCTTTATATTAATAGAACAATAATGTCATTGTTAGCTAATGAATGTTTCCATGCTGAACAACGGCAACATGACAACGTTTTCATTGGTCCCTCTTCTTTAGAGAAGACCAGGAAATGATGGATACACGGATCGTGTTCAAATCAATAGGCACGCAATGACTCTAAATAATAATGATCACGCCACCAAACACACATTCAAACTAAAGGAACCAGCCTGTTTGGAAAATGAGAGAAGTAGAAAGTACAGGTATTTGGGTTCAACATGTAAGAAGTAGAAAGTACAGGTATTTGTGTTCAACATGTGAGAAGTAGAAAGTACAGGTATTTGAGTTCAACATGTAAGAAGTAGAAAGTACAGGTATTTGTGTTCAACATGTAAGAAGTAGAAAGTACAGGTATTTGGGTTCAACATGTAAGAAGTAGAAAGTACAGGTATTTGTGTTCAACATGTAAGAAGTAGAAAGTACAGGTATTTGTGTTCAACATGTAAGAAGTAGAAAGTACAGGTATTTGTGTTCAACATGTAAGAAGTAGAAAGTACAGGTATTTGGGTTCAACATGTAAGAAGTAGAAAGTACAGGTATTTGTGTTCAACATGTAAGAAGTAGAAAGTACAGGTATTTGGGTTCAACATGTAAGAAGTAGAAAGTACAGGTATTTGGGTTCAACATGTAAGAAGTAGAAAGTACAGGTATTTGTGTTCAACATGTAAGAAGTAGAAAGTACAGGTATTTGTGTTCAACATGTAAGAAGTAGAAAGTAAAAAGTCGTCAGAAAAATAAGTAGTGGAGTAAAGTACTGATACCAGAAAAATGTAGTTAAGTACAGTTACGAAGTATTTGTACTCCACTACTTCCCACCTCTAATCTAAACTCTAATCTAATAGATTAGATTAGAGTTTAGATTAGATTCAACATTGCACAGAGAACAAGTACTAAAACCACGAGGAACTTTCGCCCTCAAAAGTGTTGGATACCCCCAACCCGAGGTATAACTTTTCGTATCTCTGGAAATAATAGTCTGAATGTCACCAAATTTGGATTGCATGTTCACAGACAGTTATTGCACATAGAAAAGCAAAGGTTTCATCAATATATTTGTCAATCTTTGAAATGTATACACTTAAATACACATTAATTATAGGCGAAAATGGAATGGGTAATTAAAAATCCGAAAGGTATGTTTGTACCATATACTGTCACAGATGTACGGTCACTTATCACCAACAAATATATCATTTGAATGCATCAGATAGTGACTGGATCTTGTTTAAAAGTAGGATAGTTGACAGGTTGCTGTTTGAGGGACTTGTTTACCTTTAGCTGGAGGTTGAGTGCTGAACCTGGAGGCGACACACCACACCGGACCACACTGAGAGAGACATACATTATTATATTTTCTTCAGTTGCACAATCATGCAAATATCTAAGCAATGATGTGGCAGATGTGTTTCTAGATACAAAAGGTGTGGCAGCAGAAACAATGGAGCCGAGGAAAAGAGGAAGCCTGACTACATGACGGGTCGTTGCAGAAGAATGAATACTTTCAGAGATGCTTTGATGTTGAAATACTTGTAGTTGTAACAAAGGAAGTTGCATAATACAGCATTAGTAGTAATAGTATGCAGTTAAAGTAGTTCCTGATACAGTTGTTTTGTTTAAAGGTATCTGAGCAGATAACGGAGGAAGAGTCCCTAAACTTTGTCGTCCTTAAATGTATACTTGATGTCAGAAAGCTATTAAACTTTACAATAAGTTCAACTCACTGTGTTGATTCGGTGTCTCGCTCTGCAGAGAAATCTGGAGACAAACATGGCTGTGACAGATGTGAAGCTTCTGCTCAGAGAACCAGCCGACACCTCGAGGCTGAGGTATGCGAGGCGAGTGGAGACAGGTTTCATACAAAGCAGCGGCAAGAGCTTCAGAGAAGTTAACCCTCTCCTGCCTCGCTCTGACTGCAGTGCACTGTAAAAAAAAACGTGGCTCTGTGGCAGGAAACGGTTCACCGTACAGGAAGTGAGAAACGGAAGTCAAACGGAAGTCAAGAACTGTCGTCTAACAGTAGATTAAAGACAGTACATGCTTACAGAACAAGTGAAAAGGTTTTGAAGGTGTGGAAACACTTCCTGATTCATTTGCATTGCCTAACATTTAATCTAATGTCTATTTGTTTGCGTTATTGAATGTTTCTAAACGCATTTTTCTCACGTTTAACAATGCCAGCTTCAACTGAAACCCAACCACGACTATTTTATATAAAGACATAAAAGGAGAAATATAAGCTAATTAGTGTTTCATTTATTTCCCTATACAACGTCTTTTTAAACAATTTGAGGGGGCGTAACTGTCAGTACAGTGCAAGAAATTTGCCAAAACCTCATTTAATTCCCTTTGTCTTTGCTAACAAAGCTTATCTCGCGCTATATATAGGTGTCATGTTAGCTTTTATACAACAGAAATCAAAACAAAACATATGAAAAATGTACTTTAGAAGAGATTTCTCATCAAAATGGATAAAAGTACGTTACGATGAAATAGGTATGCAACTCTGCTGCGCTGGTCATTTTGCACGGAAACTGTTTTTATTACATTATATTTCTTCTACAACTCACAACAGTTTCAGCTTTTTATAATTGCTGCTATAGGGGAGTTCATTTGTCCTAAAATACATAGAGTAAACTCTTAGATAGCGCTTGATTTCTGCAGATATACATATTGAAGAAATACTGAATGAGAGTTTGCATTGAGCTTGAGGAACAGACGTTAGACAGGAAGTGATGTCATGACTTCAGCTTTCTGTACTCAAACCAGACCAGGGTTGCAGTCGAATAGTCCAAATATCAGCTCCTAAATTCTAACCCTATCGTCTATTCCTTGACCTCGGAGTGAAACGTCATGGGGTTAAGGGATAGTGGATAGGAGAATTCAAAAGGACTTAGGAGAAGAGACTGCGGTACTTTAGAGAATCCGACTGCACTTTCACTATCCGACGTGTTTATGATGCGCCAGCGGAGGTCATAAATGTGCGCCTGCTGCTGTGGGGAAACTATGGAAACTACAGTTTTCTATACAGCGGACTACAACATGGATGTATAATAAGAACGAGGGACTACTGTAAACTCATCTAGAGACTCTGCACCGTGCTCTGATGCTGTTATGCTTTATGCTTTATGAACGGGGACAACAGAGAAACATATTCTTCATGACCAAAGTTGGAATTGAAATAAAAAAGGAAAGTGAAACTTATGCTCATCACCCTCTCCCTCCGGTCCACATTAATACAAATGATCCCAATACGTATGATTGTATGAAAAGATCTTCAAATCAATACAAATGTATTTATTATAAACGTTAGTCCTTAACATCTATCACTGTGTATATCACCATTCAAACATCTTTTAAAAGTTGAACAAACCCCACACAGCTCAGTAAAGACTGTGAAATGTTGACTTTATTTGATCATTTCAGTAAAAACTAACGTTCATATTTCTCTCTTTGATTATAATACTGATGAACGTTCAAAACAAAGCACTTTGGCAACTTACCACATACGTTTTAAAATGCTTAATAAGCACCGTAACTTTCATGATATCATTTCTCGTTCATAATCGGTTGTTTCCGTGAACGGCCGACTGTTGGGTGACGGCAAATGCTGCGGCCGCAAGGCATTGTGGGGCAGCATTTTCTCCTCTCCTTTAGGTTAGGGAGGTCCAGTGGTTCCTAAGCTAAAGGAGGTTATAAAGGAAGTTTGAAACCTCCTTTCCTTTCATTTAGAGAATTCGAACGGCACTTATCATGGCTGCCACTGAGGGACTTCCGGGTCATTTCACTCCGTTAGGAAGGTTCTTAAGCAAATGGACTATTCGACCCCAACCCATCAGTGAGCAGCCTCGTTTAAAGAGGCGCACAGGAAGTAGATATACAGGAAGTAGTCAAAAGAGTCTCCAGCCCAGCAGAGAGCAGCTTTTCTTCATCATATTTCATCGTCATATTTAATCTCTTTTTGTTTGTGTTTTTGGTCATATTTTGAAGCTTTTTGGTTCTAAAGCATTCTTGTTTGGTTGTTTGTGTTTTTTCACCGTCATTTTGCATTTCTATAGGATCATATTCTGTCTGTTTTTGGTTGTTTTGCATCTGTTTTGGTTGCTTTGCGTTTCTTTTTGGACATTTATAGTCTCGTTTTGCCCCGCATCTGTTTTGCATCTGTTTCTGGACATATCGCATCTCTTCTCTGCATCTATTTGTTATCTTTTACATTAACCATAAGCAATACCACAGTGTAGAAAAACGTGCAGTGATCTAAGAAAGCCTTAGTGCCAAAAGCAAAGTACTTATGATGTTAAATAGTAAGTATCGTATTAAAACTAATGCATGAATGTGTTCATCACATTAAGGCTGCCGCTTGTAGAGATGGAGCTAGTTTTTAATTCTTAAAAGGGAAGTTCATTTATAGTATAGTAGTAATTATAGTATAGTAGTAATTATAGTATAGTAGTAATTATAGTATATTAGTAATTGTAGTATATTAGTAATGCAAAGTAAAGAGTTGAAGCTCCTCACAGACACGGCTTCCTGTCTCTGGTTTCCTGTTCGTCTCTCAGATCGAGCACTTACCCTGATTTCACCCTCACTTCTCTCTGTTATGTCGCTCGCCGCAAACTTCCCCTTTTCGCAGCTGCAATATTAAAGTAACGCACACATTAATGCATCAACAAGATATAATACTATAATATATATTATTCTGCATGATGAGTCACTTTTGGTACATAAAGTACATGCTTAAACTTTTGTATTTTTACTCAATTTTAAAATTGTAACAGTTTTTCTGAATGGGGGAGCTGCAGTTCCAGGTGTGACCTCAAGAGGGCGATGTTTCATTCTGTGCATCTGATACAGAAACTCAAGTGTGTGTGTGTGTGTGTGTGTGTGTGTGTGTGTGTGTGTGTGTGTGTGTGTGTGTGTGTGTGTGTGTGTGTGTGTGTGTGTGAATCCATGAAGCTGCTTGGCGTCACCGTTTACTTTACCCGTAGGAAACATGGACGGTGACATCAAGGAAACAAGGAAACACCGATGGCGATGACATATCAACAAGGAAGCTAGGGAACACGGATGGAAGAGTGAGTGTGTGTGTGTGTGTGTGTGTGTGGTGTGTGTGTGTGTGTGCGTGCGTGCGTGCGTGCGTGCGTGCGTGCGTGCGTGTGTGTGTGTGTGTGTGTGTGTGTGTGTGTGTGCGTAGATATAGAGAATTAAGTAAAATTATTGGGAAATAGGAAAATAAATATATGAAGTGATACATAAGTAAATGAAAACATAGATAAATTAATTAATTACAAATAATAATACATTAATTTACACAAGGTAATATGTTAGTAAATACATGAAGCAAAACGTAAATCATTTAAAAAACGATGTCTAAATAAATGAAGCAATGCATGCATATTTAAATAAAAACATAAGAAAGAAAGAAAGAAAGTGAAACATAAATAAATAAATAATGATAAAAAAGCCCAACAGGAAGCAGTTTTATTCTCTCTACCTGAGATAAGGTAAATTAAATAACCTTTCCACGAGCCTCTCACATATTAGACTCTATCTTTGATGACAGATGGAGCAGCCCTGATTTGATCAAATATTAAAACACGCTCCATATTTGTATGTGAGCGCGGAAAGGTTAAACCATAAAGACTGAAAGGTCGACAGGGTATTTATCATCAAGATAAAGAATATGTAAAATGTGTGTGTGTGTGTGTGTGTGTGTGTGTGTGTGTGTGTGTGTGTGTGTGTGTGTGTGTGTGTGTGTGTGTGTGTGTGTGTGTGTGTGAATCACCTTTCTGTAACCAAGTACATTTAATGAAATACTGTGAGTATACACTTCAGAATAGTTTTGAGGTACTTTCACTGATTCTGATTCTGAGTATTTACATTTTCTGCAGAAGGAGATATTTTAAATTTTTTGAAACAATTTGGAGAATATCTTTTTACACACACATACAAATAGTTAGCGCAGAAAGATTGTCTATAAACATATATAACAGATTATTATTATTATTATATATAAAGTTCAAATTAACTGCATTTTTTAAGATATACTCTACTTTGACTTTAACATCTGAGTACTTCTTCCTCTAGTCATCATGACATCATCAGAATACATTAGATTTACTTTGTTGATGCCAGACTGGGAATGTGTTTGTTACAGCCAATCCTATTTCAATGTAAATACTGTTATATTTTACTATATGTTTACATGTTATTATAGATTTCTTAAATTAGTTTTCTATCTGTTTTTGTAATTCTGGTTTTACTTTAATGTATGCACCACGACACCAAGTCAAATTCCTCGTTCGTGTCAACCTACCTGGTGATACAGTTATAATACACTATAAGAGACTCGACTGCATCTATCTTAAATAATGTAGGCTGCATGTTTCCCAGTTACATGTAAATACATAAATATCCTCATTGCACTACAGAGGCTTCATGTAGAGACACCTCTCTCTCTCCCCTCTCTCCCTCTCTCTCTCTCTCTCTCTCTCTCTCTCTCTCTCTCTCTGTATCGATGGCTGCAGGTATCGATGCTTGCACGGGAGGGGGGGGGGGGGGGGGGGGGGGGCGGAGCTGGGGTACACCTGTGAGCAGATATAAAGTGCACGAGGATCCGGGACCAGTTCACCTGAAGTCCTGCAGACAGACCAGCAGCACCTGAGAGTCTGGAGGCAGCAGAATAACACCGGAAGTGGGATTTCACTCAACAAACCGGGATTATTTGTGATTTAGAGAAAAGGAACTTCTCCCTGAAAGCAACAGGTAGGATTCATCAATGTGTGTTTTTACCTGCTTGTAATATTTTAAAATGACAGCTATTTATACATTCTGTAAAGTTTCTTAAACATATCTGTATTTAACCCAAGTTAAATAATGCAAAGGACATTTAAGATGGAAGCTTCGCCTTGTGGTTTGTACTGAGGATATTGTTTTAATTTATAGGATTACTTTACGAGTTTTAGGAATTAGTTTCAAAGTAAAACCTTTTTTTCGTTTTCAGTGTG